GACCACGTTTCTAATCCAAAAAGTCAATTAAAGACATCTATAAAGTCAAAACAACGTCTATGAAGCTTCTAGAAAGCTTCCATAATAAATGTTATAGTCATTCTAAATCCTATTAAAATAAGTCTTATGCTTCTAAAAAAAGCTTAAAGCTAGATTTTTATTTTTAATTTTTGATCGCTAAATGCTTCCATACTTTATCATAGGCGGTCGTTTTAATGGCTAGAGGTTTGATTTCTACCTTGTTCTACAAACAATCAATCCCTAGATGTCAATTCTACCTCTCTTAGAGATTTTTTAGCTTGACCCTATCTTCAACTTAATGTTAGTATCAATCATACTAATTATTATCTCTTCTACTTTATTTTTATCAATTTATAGCCTTTTTAAAGTAATAAAAGAGTTTTTATAGCTTAGAAGTTGAAATTACTAACCAACCTTTAATCTATTAGCTATCAAGACAAGAAAATAAACTAAAAGGTTATTATGAAAGCCATGTTTAAATATCTTGAATTATTATTGAACTAAAATGATTAGATATTAATTAAAATTTTATTTTTGATTATATTTTCATCATATAGATGTTTTATAATACGACAATGGGTTGCAAGTTTATGATGAATGACAATAGAAATAGCATGGGAAATAAGCTTTTTATCATTGTTTTGTTACTTATATACACAATCTTCACTTAATGTATATTCTTTATCAATGAATCAATTGATATGCTTGAGCTAATCTGTGAACCATTTTCTAAATCTTCATGTGTGATCAAGCCTCCAAGTTCAACATGCTAAAATGTTGAATATTCCATCAAACATATAAAAATATATGTGCAACTTTAAGATTACTTAAAGATAATGGAAAGTGGCAAAAATATTTGGAAGATGTATGAAGAATACAAACTAGATGCCAATTGAACATATTGTTTATTATTTTGCTATTACACAAAAATTTGGTAAATCCATTAAATTATGGAAAAGGTTTTGGATAAACATTTTATATGATCTCAATACCCGTTTACAAAGAAAATATAGAATTAGCAATCTAACGGAGGAAAAGATTAAAGATTTTGGACTTTCCTTATTGAATAAGATTTTGTAAGACTTTAATAGAATGCTTGCAAAATTTCTTTCAATACCATTACCAAGAAATAATTGGAATGCAATAATTAATGGAAATTGATTTATCATTAAAGAAAGAGCATGGAACATTCAATAATTATAAGCAAATTTAGAGCAATATGATCCACAATTGAATCTTCAATAAAGAAAGACATATGATAATATTGTGGCCTAGATAATGGAAGAATATGCATGCATGTTTTTTTTAAATAGACCTACAGGAACTAATAAGATATTTATCTATAATACTTTGGCAACTAAAGTTCTATTGATGCAAAAGATTGTCATATGAATTTCATCATAAAGAATTGCCACATTGCTACTTAAAGGAAGAAGAACTGCCTATTTGACATTTAAGATTCTATTAGATTGTAATAAAGATTCTTTTTGTTCAATTACTAAAAGGTGTAACCATACTGAATTTATTTGCCAAACTTTACTTATTATTTAGAATGAACTTCTAATAGAACATCATTATTGACTTGAGACCATTGATCATTCTTTTAGAGACATTCATGATATTGATTATCCATTTGGAAGAACTATAATAGTTTTTGGTGGAGTTTTTTGCCAAATATTGTGAGTGATTATAAAAAGAACTTGAGAGGAAATTGTAGTAATGTCTTTTTAACGTTCAACACTTTGATCTTAAATAAAAATTCTTACATTAAGAAAAAACATGAAGTTGAATTCAAGAACACTTCAAGCAGATATGAAGTTTGCTAATTGGCTTCTTTAAGTATAAAATGCACAGACATATGATATATATTAATGGTGGTGCATTTGAATTCTTCATGGTTGTATTATTATTAACTAATATTTCTATTTTTGACTTATTAGATTAGAGATAGTACAAACTTATTGCCAGTAATATAGTTAAGCTTCCTGATGACATAATTATTAATGAATAATTAATGTTCTTAATTAATATTATTTATATATGGTTGATAGAAGACAATGTAGCAAATGATGCCTTTTTAAGAAATAGAATCATTTTATTTGCTAGAAATGATGATGTAGAGGATTTTAATGAAAAAATTAGGTCCATACTTCTTCGATAAGAATAAAAATATCTAAGTACAGATAATTTTTTTTTTCAAAGATGGTATTGACAACAATAATATTTATCCAGTTGAATTCATCAAATTGCTTAATCTATCTAGAATAGTCAAAGGCTTTGTTTTAAGATTGAGACTTTGGTGATGCTACTAAGAAATATTGCTCCTTCCTATGGATTTTGCAATGGAACCCAATTGATAATTACACAAGTAATCAATGAAGTTCTTGAAAGAAGAATTCTTGAAGGAAAATTTGTTAGAAACTTGGTGTTCATTCCATGCATTACATTAACTTCTACAACAAAAGAACTTACATTCATTCTAAAGAGAAAGTAATTTCAAATCTATATTGTATTTGGAATAACAATAAACAAATCTCAAGGACAGTCGATGAAGCATGTTGGTTTGGATGTAAGACAATCTATTTTTTTTCCACAGTTAACTTTATGTAGTACTCTCTAAATGCATTTTTTCTCGTTCTGTCAAGATTCTTCTTTTTAAAAACAACAATTTAAATTCCATGCTAAGTATTTTTTTTCAAAAAATTTAATTACATAAATATTAATAATTTATTTTTTATATTTTGTATTTTAATTTATTTATTTCTTAACTTTAGTATATCTTTAAATGTCTTAATATACTTTTATAAATTTTTAATGTAATTTAATATATTTTTTTTATATTTTCATAAGGAATTCCTTGAACAAAATTAATTACTTTTTTGCATATTATTTGAGACAACAACACAACTTTACCTATCCTACTTTGTAGCTAAAAGCTCCATTGTGTATTTTATTTCTTTTTATTTGTATTATATTATATTTGTATTTGAAAAATATTCTTTGGTTCAAAAGAAAACAATAAATACATATTCTACAAACACACAATTGTCTTTATATCAGAAACATAATTGATTAAAAAAAAAATCTTGATCCTATGAATAAAACCATGCACCACTAGACAAGACTAATGAAAAATCTTAATAATGTCTTCACAAACATTACCATTGAAATTCTACAATTTTTAACATACACAACATCCAGTTACATCTCCACACAACACTATGTCAACTTCTAGAAAAAAACAACAACTTATTACATCACATCCCAAAATCAATCCAAAATGATATTCACCGACGTCCAAAGTACTGGGGACGATTTTAGGCGACAGGAACAAGATTAGGACTCACTAGAAAAGCCTGAAAGAATAAATTCAAATTACTGTCGCTTGCCATCACTGGCTTACCAACAGAGTGAAGCTTGAATGCCGAGGTGCAAACCGTTCCGTTCCAGAATCAAATCAAACGAGCTGTCCCAAACGATTGTGCGACCATGCACACCGAGAAACTCTGGCATTTAGGCATGAGAAAATCCAGCAACCCGCATACTATCACTACTGTAAATGCAAATGCCGCCAACAATGCACCGCCGCAAAAATGCTGCAAAACTTTGTTCCACCATATCAGTACCGCAACCTTAGACAAAATCTGCCAGCTTTGGATTCCATTGCACACTCCAACACTTTCATGTCTAAAGCTAACATCACCACTGCTCATAATGCAGATGCCCGAGTTGTATCAATTTCTATTCCCAATACCTCTTAAATCTTCCTGTCCCACTAATTTTTGATAAATCCCGAATATCCACATGAAAGCAGTAGCACTGCCGCACGCAATTGCCATTCCATTCCACCTATAATCCTTCTCTGCCGATTCGGAGGGTTCAAAATTATCAAATTCCTCAAAGGACTCTCTAAATGGACAACCACACCCTGGGCAGCTTATAATGATGCATGCAAAATCACGATTAATTAAAAAAAGGATGTGGAAGTACGCAATGTATCTCATTACGTGAAGGCTATTAGACACAGACTTGGTCCCTGGAGCGTCTGAGAGTACGACATCTGAGTTTGCGATTCCAGTTACGTTCAACGCAGTTCCCTCTGCCGATTGTGCGAGCTTACAAAATGCGCATGATCGGGTGAGGATTCTGGTTCTTGCATGTTATGCTGGAGTCCATCCAGGTACCGCTAAGAACATGCACAACTCAGAGGTTCAATCGTGCGCCACGCACACCGTAGTCAGCGAGAACGTGAGCAGTGAATGCCGGATCGGCTGGCGTCGATGACCATGACGTCAGGCGGAGGGGGAAAGGGGCGGGGAGCGGGAAAGGCGGGGGAATTCAAGTGACCTGGGTTCGGATGGAGGGATCGTCATGCGGGGGAAAGGGCAGGACATGGGGAACGGCGGGTGGGAGTGGCACCCGAGCGAACTGGACCGCGGACCGATGCAAGACACAAGGACGAAGTACTCACTCCACAACGGCCTTCTGTTGCCATGCAGGACAGGGCCAAGGAGTTCGCAACGAAGCGGGTGGCTGTTTGTGTGCAGGGCTGGCGCCAGCGGGAGTCGGAAACATGAAGCAACACGGAGGTCAAGCGGCAGGGAGCGAGAGAGAGAGAGAGGCAGAGCGGGCGGATGCGTTGAAAGCGAGGAGTCAGCAGGGGAGCGGGGTGGGGGGTTTCGTCCGAGCTGAGGGTGACCTGAGCTGAGCTGGAATCGGGTGCGGAGTTAGAGTGCAGAAGATGCTGAACCCTAGCGCAGGGGCATTAGCACCGTCGGATGTGCATCTGCAAGCTTGTCCTGGCTGCGCGCGAAATTGGGCTTCAGAACCCCAGAAGGGGAGGCGCGTGGGCCGTCGGATGGAAGGAAGTGGGCGATCGGCGCCGTTCCGGTGGGGAGTGTGCGGCGGAGGCTTTTGGGAATTTGGGAGCAGCAGCGCAGCCAGGGTTGGGAATGGTGGGGCCCTCCACCCAGCACACAATCAGCCCTGAGGCGTGAGCTCTCGTCTTCGTCGTCTCCTTCTCCTTCAAATTCTGCTCCATTGTGCGAGAGTGCGTAATTTTTTCGTGAGCGGCTGTCGGTCTTCGCCTGCGAGTCCGTCTTTCTTTAGGTCCTTCTGATTTTGTTGTTGGGATCTTTGCGCCGCCCCTGTCGATTTTCGGAGCCGCCGACCCTGTCGATTTTCGGAGCCGCCGACCCCGTTTCTTGTGGTAAGGCAGAGAGGCGCAGCAGCAGCTATGGAGGAAGTGGGAGCGAGCGTGAATGTTGGCGCGAAGGAGACAGGTAAGGTGAAATGGTTCAACAGTAGCAAGGGGTTCGGGTTCATCACGCCCGACAAGGGTGGAGACGATTTGTTCGTACACCAGACGAGCATCCACGCCGAGGGGTTCCGTTCGCTTCGTGAGGGCGAGGTGGTGGAGTTCCAGGTGGAGTCGAGCGAGGACGGGAGGACGAAGGCGTTGGCCGTGACGGGTCCTGGGGGTGCGTTCGTTCAGGGCGCGAGCTACAGGCGCGACGGGTACGGTGGCGGAGGCGATGGAGGAGGTCGAGGGTTCGGCGGGAGTGGTGCGAGAGGTAGGGGCCGCGGTGGGCGTGGCTCGGGAGGGTTCGGCGGCGTGGGTGGAGGCGACCGGCCTTGCTACAACTGCGGCGAGGGAGGTCACATTGCGCGCGACTGCCAGAACGAGCCGACAGGGAGTGTGAGGCAAGGAGGCAGTGGCGCAGGGGGGAGCCGGAACTGCCACACTTGTGGAGAGGCTGGACATTTTGCGAGGGACTGCACTCCTGCAGCCGCTTCCTAGGTGCTTCCGAGTAGAAACAATTTTTCAACATCCTCCTTTGTCTAGATGGGAAGGCCGAGCCGGGGCTCAGTGGGTTGGCCAAGGTAGGGTCTGGCGGAGCACACTGTGGCCGCCGGACCGTGGAGCGTTTTGGCGGTGACGCGGCCTGCGTTGTTTGTACCAGGCAGGAGAGGGTAGTGCTCTGCTTGACTTTGTTTTTTCAACCGCTTCTGGTGGTGGTCGTCGTGGATGTGGCTAGGTTTCGTCTGCACTGAGGCCTGCATGGCTGCGGGTATAATGTAGTATGCAGAAGTTTGCTTTGTGTGTGACGGCGAATTTATCTGTCATTAGCGGGGCCGCAGAGAAATCTCTCCGGAAGGGGAGCGGTCGGCAGGGTCCGAGAGCTCCTCCGCGATGGATGGTTTGCGAGGTCTGCCTTTGGAGTCAGTTGGAGGAGAGGGGGTGGAATCGGCAGGCACCGGTCGGAGGGGTGCGCGCCGAGAAGGGTTTATGTTGTGTCAGCGGGTCGAAGAATAGGCCGGAGCGTTACGTTTGTCAAGTCAATCTTGAGCTTTGTTCGCTGTTTGAAAGACCCGCGAAATGTAATCGAAGATCACGAGGAAGGCAATCATTCGAGTAGATGATTTTTTTTTGTATATTTCCAGTGGAGTACGTGCATTGAGTATGTGAATGTTGACACTATGGTTGCATGGCACATGGGTGCGGTGTGTTTTTGGAGACGGTTGCATTGGACTGGCATTGCAGTGGATTGTTGGCTTCGATCGTGGTTTGGCGAAATGTTGCCATGCCAGCAGGAAAGGTGTGGTGTGAGTGGCTGTTGGCAGCGTGCGATGTGGTTAGGGTTTAAGTAGTTCTCGCACATACTCATGATGGGTAATGTATCCATTTCGGGGGTTTCGGGGCGGGGGGGGCTGCAAGCGAGCATCTAGTTCTTCCATGTAGCTTACAGCATGATGGTTGACCTCGCGGTGAATGAAGCACGGCTGAATGAACACAATAGCTGTGTGAGCACTGGGATGGAGTGGTGGAGGCAACGGCCGCGGTTCTGTTTGCCGGAGTGGATGAAGAAGATTGAGTACTTGGCAACGTTTTTGAAATCTTGACCAGGTGTGATTGAGACAGAGGTGGCACGCGACACCTCGGCGCAAGTACGCTGCTCTAACAACTAATCCAGAAGGAACGAAAATGGAATGCTTAGTAGGGTGTTGTGAAGATTGCGAATGGTGGCGGACGTTTCGAGGGAATGGATATAAGACTGGGAATACACGTATCGTTGGGGGATTAGAATCAACATTCCAACAAGTTTATGCCCCAACTGGTTGAGTGCAGTTGGCACTGCACATGACGAATTCGTTGTGTGGCCCATAGGTGAGCCGCAACACATTTACACCATTTCTTACTTAAATCAACATAATTGATTGGTCTTTCAATCACATTGTGGTAATGACACATTTTTGTCAGATTTGTAGTAAACTGGTAATAATTTTAGAGATGTGAGAAGGATAAAAATAATCTTTCATAACATTGCTTATATGAATATTCAATCAACTTTTAAGGAGTACAACTACCATTTGGACTAATCTGTTGTTTAGTTAAAAATTAGTTGACTGCCATCAAGGAGTATATTGATGACAATTTGTCATACACTAAAAATATTCAAGAATAGTAATAGATATGCAATGTTTTTTAAAAATTTGTCAAGTACATTTAGAATTTTATTATAATGTTTTTTTAAGTTGTAATTTTAGATACATGTTTGATTTGTAAATACAAACATAAGTAGAATAAAGAAATTTAAGTTGCATTTGATGCTTTGAAGACAACTTTTACAATAACATTAATCTTGTATTACATTGATTTTTTTATGGCATTTTTTATGATGAAAAATATATTAAATTTTGCCTTCAAATTTTGACTTTAACTTATAAATATATATAAAGTCAAATCCGTATTTATGAAGCTATTAAGAAGATTGTCCATGAGCTATTATTAAATTTATTTACTTCTATTTATTTTTGTTTAATTCCTTTAATATAGATAAATATGTATTTCTATGATATTATTTTCCTTCCCTCTCTCCCTCCGCCTTTCTTTTCTTTCTAAAGATAAGTTCTACAAAGAGTAGTGATCACATGTTGATAAAATTTAAAATACAACAAATCATATTTATGACATACTTCAATCTTTCTTTTCTTCGAAGATAGATGATAGGTCTTTTCAGCCATTGATATTGTTCCATATAAGAGCATGAAGACCACCATGTTATTTGATTATAGTTGAGGTCTTTACAACTTTGCTTGAATAAAGTATTTGAAATACCATTACATGTGGTTTTTACTTTTAATAATATCACCAAACATTGAGATTGTATGTTCAAGGTTATGTTATTAAATACATTGTATCTCACCATTTATTTGAGAAAAATATGTTGTTTTTGACACTCTTCATTTTTATCATGCCTTCTTAAAAGTTATCACAATCTCAATGCTTTCTCTGATAACTCAGCAAATAATAGATCTTGAATTGAATCTATTGGTTATTGATTTTCCATCTCTTTAGTACCACAAATACAACAAAAAACACAAACAACGCTAGAAAATAGAATGCAATCTTTATAAAATTTTATTTTATTTAAAATAAGATTTTTTTTTGATATTTTATCTTAATTTTAATGGATTTTGAAGATAAAAAGCTGTATTTACAAGATTCTTAGCTAATTCCTATGTATGTTTATTATTATCATAGCTATACCATTATATATAATATTCTAACTTATTTTGGCACCACCTTAAGTCTAAGACTTTTTCAACTTTAGATTATTATTTATATCTATAGGAGAATGTGACATTTATCTTCTTTTTGATATATCCATTGTCTTATATGTCTTAAAAAGAAACCTATAGAACATAAGATGGATATTTATAGATTCTAGTATATATAATTAATAAGCAATTAGATTAATCTATTTATAAAAAAATAAAATAGTCAAAGTCTATAATTATCTAATTTATCATAAAAGCAATTAATTTTGATATTATAATAAAATAAATATACCTTATTGCCAACATAGATTTGAAGTTGTTCTTTATAATAGGCATTTGCATTGATCTATTATTATTCTTGAGCTTCTTTTAATTGTACCTTAAAAGTTGCATGTAATTCTGATAAACAATTTGCCAAATCTTTTGTTACAAAGTTATCAACTTTTCAAAAGTAAAAAATATCAAGTTGTAGAAAGTATTTATAAATAATATTGAATAGTATTTTTATTAGCAAAAAATATATTATAATATTATATATAAGCTCAAACAATAGACAATGAATTTTCTAATCATCTTGATAGTAGTTGATGGTATATCTCAAATACTAATTCAAAAATTAATTCATCTATTTTATTTATCCATTAGTTTGAAGATAGAAAGCCAAAAAGAATTTTATATCTACCTTCAATATCTTAAAAATAGTTATCTAAAATATTAATACAAATTGAAACCTTCTATCTATTATAATATATATGATAATAATTTTATTGTCAAGAATATTTTAGTTGTTTTTTCATATGTAATAGTTTTATTACATAATAGAAAACATGCCACCTTGGTGAAATAATCTACTATTATTAATATAAAATTATATGAGCTTAAAATTAAAATATTTGTGATAAAAACTATAGAAACAAAAGACTATGATTATTTTGATATACATAAGGATTGAAAAATTCCATGAATTTAATATTTTTTGTTTTAAATAAACATTATATGATAGTTTAAAGTATTAAATTGTCTTCAAAATTTGAATCTATTTAAAATTTCTAAATATTAATTTTAAAATCTTATTGTATCCAAAATATCTTAATAATAAAAAAAATATTATAAAGTTAAAAAGCAAGTAGGCGTGCTTAACCTTTTCGAATATATAAGTGTCTCTCTAAATAGAGAAAATTGATTTTGAATTAAAAATTAGAAGTATCATGAGATTTAGAAGAATTATTCTAAATATCATAAGCAAAAATATCTAAGGAAATACTTGATTGAATTTTATTTTTAAAAAATTAATAAAAAATTATTATTTATTTTATTTCTTAAAGATAAATATATTTTAATTTTAAAATTATTGAATAATTATTAATTAAAAGTTACATTTATTTCTTTAGGTGCAAGATAAGGTCTTAAAAGTTCATCTAATAATCTTTGTTGTTTTCTTAATTGATAAGTATGGTCTTTGCAACAAATTAGAATATATGTTGAAATAAAATATTCAAGGTTTTTATAATCTTTATAAATAATTAATTAATAAACTTATCTTTTAAATAATAGAGCTATTCTTAAATTTTAATCTATAATTATAAGAAATTTTTTATTATAGATTTTATAATTCATCATAGATGTTTTTTTTTTTTGAATAAAAGCTATAATTTGAATTTTTTTATTATATTTTACTAATAATAATACTCTACTTCAAGAAAAGTTTGATATATTTTTTGTCATAAAAAATGACTTTAAAAAATCAATACAATATAAGATTAGAGCTATTGAAAATGCTCTCTATAAACCTTCAAGTAATGCTTCAATTTTCTTATTGTACTTAGGTTTGTTTTAAGAAGTCAAATATATAAGTACAGCCTTCTATTTTTAGGTTTTTATAATACAAAATAAACATGAAGTTCATTTATTTTTATTTTTAAAGTAAATTAAAATATTACTTAGATAACAAACAATAAAATAATCTTAAAACCATTATAAAAATTCATTCATTAAATATTGAAAAACCAATTGATCCATTTGTAATTTTAAAAGACATGATATTATATTTAAAATATTTATATCTTGTTCAAAATATAGTCTTTTATTTATATCTTTTTATAATTCTTACTAAATTATATTTTTATTTGGATATATTTTGTTTAAATCTCTTCTTAATTAAATCAATCAAAAAAATTTGATATCAAAGATAGAGATTATTTATTCTTGATGGTTATCTTCTTAAGCTCTTAATAATTTATACATATTTATAATTATCCATAATTTTTGTTTACAAATAAAATAGAAGTTCATTGTAAAGTTATCAAATGGGCTATAAAATTCTTAACTAAATCCTTATTCATATATTCTATGACTGAAGTGCGAGTGTAAAATCCACTCTTCAACCTAAATTACAAGACGATGACAATTAAGAATTATTTATAATTGGTGGTATGAAGTAAAAGTAGCAAGAACAAGAACAAAAGAAGCACAACACAAAAACAAGTGAAACAAGTACAATCAAGTAATTATACACGAAAAAACTAGTCATAGTTTATTCACCGAGTTTTCATCAAATATAAAGTAAAAAATAAAAGCAAAAAAATGTTTTTAGAAATTTTATGTTTTTATCTTTTAAATGGTGTAAAAAATATATAAATCCGAGTTACTATAAGTAAGTTATGAAGATTTAAATATAGCAAGAAAATAAATAAAAAGGTAAGTAAATAATTTTACCTCAAAGATAACTTGCTTAAGAGATCAAGAGTTTGAGTCTCACCAAGGCTTACAAGTAGTTTATATAGGTGTCTAAGAGACATTAGTCTTATCTTCCTAACTACCTTCAAGGTGCTACAACCCATATAGAACTTGTGCACCTTTTTTCTTACAAGGAC